GGGGCGGGCCGGCTCGCCCCCGCCTGAGCCGAGAGCGCAGCCGGCGGCCTGGCGCGGCACTGGGTGGCTTCGGGGGGAGGAGGGGCGGGGAAGGGAACCCAGCGCGCCCCCATCCTGGCTTTCCGTCTCGGGACGGATTTGTGCCTTTCTGTCCCCACCTTTCTGTCCCCCACCACCCCATCCCCCAGATCTCTTTAATGAAAAGTAGTTTATTGCCTGGCTGTTACTGCCCAGGCCCCCGAGGAGGAGACAGGAAGGAGGAAGGGCCAGCATTAAATCCCTTAAGCTAGAGCCTCTTCTGATGAACCACCTGCCCCCACCGCGGGTCACAAAGGGTGAATTCTCCCCGGAAACGTGATCGAACCGCTGCCTGAGTCGCCCATCGATCTGGGCCTGTGTAACTAACCTGTGAAATCATTTACCAATGACAAGGTTGCAGGCTCTGCATAACACGACTGCATTAAGCCCAGGGCTCCCCTGGGACCCTCTCCAGGCTGGGAGGAGGGAAAGGAACATACAACGGTGGGAAAGTCCACTGGGTTGGGGGCCAGCTCATCATTAGCCCCAGGCTCTGGCTTTCTCACCACCCCTCCCTCTGGTCTGGAAAATCGACTTTCCAAGCCACTTGTAGGTCACTGGACTTGGAGCAGTAACTATTTAATTCAATTTAGCCCCCCCCCCCCCCCATCTATTTCAACATTTTTTTTTTCCATTCTACTTTCAAATATTTAAAGGGTAGTGTTTTCACAACTAATCCAATTGTTTCACAATCACAATGAAGCTTTGTGACTGTGGACCAATGTGAAACATCTGAAATGCAAGCAGAGTGTTTTGTGACCTTATTGTATTAATATTTTCTTCTCTGCACCGTCAGAACCCATGTACCATCTAAGACTTAATTCATACAGTTGCTTGGTACACAGCATCCCACCATTCCTCCAGCCTTCTTTGGGAAGGGTGTTAGGACACCAAATGATGATAGGACATGAGAAGGAAATAAAGACAGGTGGGTGTAGGGGCTCCAGACTGAGAGATCTTACAGGACTTCGCTATTGGAGAAGATGGTAAAAAACGGTTGTGGGTGCTGGAGCAGGAGTCTGGGGAAAAGGTGATATGGCAGTGATCTCAGTTGATGGGAAACAGGGCGGACAAGGCATTACCCTCCCAAGCCAGGCTTGTTCCCTGAAGGAGTGGGAAGTAGGCCTGGAATATGCCTTTGGCACTGAGCTTCTGAACCTGGGAGGGTACCCACCAGCCCCGAGTCCTCTTTGATGATGAACCAAGAGAGCCTGTGGGTTCATGATACAACAATGCATGATGGCACTCGGCTGCTCTTCCTCTGTGGATGGCAAAACATTCTGGAAGTGCTCATTAAGCACAAGAAGCCCTTGGTGAGGGGAGTGGGTGTCAGAGGGAAAGAAGAGGAGACGGGTAAGATTACCCTGGGTCTCCTTGTGAATCAGAGCAGTTGGCTCACCTAAGACAGCACCACCTAAGACAGCACCAGTGGTTGGCTCACCTAAGACAGCACCAGTGGTTTCCTACTCATCCTCCTTCTGGACCCGGATCCACACTGAACATGACACTAAGCACAAGAAATCTATAAAGGAGAGTGTATTAGTCCATTTCTGTTGCTTATGACAAAATATACGAAACTGAGTAATTTGTAAAGAAACAATGTTTATCACTCACAGCTTTGGAGGGTGGGAAACTCAAAGTCCAGGGAACACATCTGGTGAGAGCCTAATTCTTGGTGGTGGCTTTACAGCTACGCAGGGTATCACATGGCAGAAATGGCAGGAGCAGAGAGAGAAACTAACCCCCTCACTTGCTCTCCTTTTAAAGCCATCAGAACCATGCCATGAACACCATCAAACCATCAATGGATTAATCAATTCACTAGGGCATGGTCCTCACAATCTAATCACCTCTTCAAGGCCCCTCCTTTCAATTATTGTTAAAGAATTCCCATCTCTTAACACTGTCACAGTGGGGATTAAGTTTCTAATACCTGGAACTTTGGTAGACACAATTCAATCCATAGCAGACACGTTCTGATCTCCCCCATTGTCAAACTCAGTGTTCACCTAAAAGGTGTTGGCCTTTTTCCTGCCTAAAAAACTCCAGACAACCTGACGTTTCTTGAATTCAGGTCTTTTTTTTTTTTTTCCTTTTTGTCTTTTTTCATGTCCGGCAACGGATCGCAACCCTCAGTGTCGTACCGGACAGGGACCGGCAACGGGATCGCAACCGCACCTCACTCAGCCCGTGAGTGGGAATCCGTCCGTATGTGGGATCCGAACCCTCGGCGGGTGCGCCGCTGCACTCCCAAGCGGCCGGCCCTCGAATTCAGGTCTTTAAACACAGCTTGAGCATACTCCCAACTTCCCCTTTTGCTCCCAAATGACCTCAATTGGAGGGAGTAACTGAGTGCCGCCCCCTAGAAGTTATTTATACCTACTGGGGCCGAATGTCCAAGAGACTTTAAGTATGAAATGGGGCAGGCTCTCCCTTCCCTGGGTACATTTCAACCTCATGCAGATTTCTTCCCCACAGTGCCTTAGGAGTTCCTTTCTGTTCAACACACATTTACTGAGTGCCTCACATGTGCCTGGCACTCCCCCCTAGTAATGAGACTGGCAGAAGTTTCCTTGGAGACGGGACCTGTGCATCATTTATGTAATATGCGGTCTATGCCTGGCATAGAGCAGGTATATAGGATGGTCTGCATTGAAAACATCTGCTCAGGGAGCTAGTGCTGGAGACGATTAGGTAAACCCTATTTCACCACCTCCATCTATGAACTGGGGATGACTCCAATCCATGGACATTGTGTGATTTCAAATGACAAAATACAATTGCAAAAATTTTTTTTTTAAAGTTTAGGGTAAATAAGAGAGAGAGGACCCAAAATAAAGATGCAAACTGATACCTGAAACTGATTTTTCTAAAACAGGTAATTATAGGATACTTAGAATCAAAGAATTTTTCAACTAGAAGGACAAGAAAGGTTACTTATTGCTCTCATTTTACCAAGGAGCAAACTGAGGCCGAGGGAAACTCAGCAAGTTGCCAGTGCCACACAGCTTGTCCATTTCAGACCAGCCATCTTTCCCTTCACCACGTTCACATGCCTATTCACAGGCAGGAAGAGTCCATTTAAAGAGCCTTACACTTAGCACATGCAGGAACACCTGCAGATCCAGAATGTTGTTGCACTCCCTTGAACCCCCGAGTCCCTGGATTCCAATTCTCCCTTCACATGAGCGTCACAAGTTGCCTGGACTCCCCAACAAGGAGGACTGGATGTTCCTCCAGGTCAGGGGCATGTGTGTCCCCACAGTCCTCTGAGCACACACACATCCCATCAGCTCCCCACATGCAGAGCCCACCCCACCTCCTCTCCCATGTAGAGTCTTTGTGACCACCTCAAAGAAGACAACACACAGGAAAACACTGAAAACTGTTAAGGGTTAAACAAAGACAAAGTATTAGCCTCTCTTCCTCAGAAAGTTTATGGCAATTGCTAGTTATTCATTTGGTTACTAATCATACATTGTCCTATGACAGCTCAGTCTCTACTGTATTGAAACTTATTTACATCTTTTATTGTTATTTAACTTTCCTGTGCTTAGGCTGTGCCTTCTAAACCAGTAAGAAGCATGTGAGGGCCTTGAGAACCTTGAACTTAAGACTTTGACACTGCCCTTTCCCTCCCCCACCCCCCCACCACCCAGCACCTCTGCCATGCTGCCGCCTGCCACCTGCCACACACACGCCACTCAGCACAGGGCTGTATACACACCAGGCACCCAATGAGTGGTTGTCTTTTTAGATTACTGGGATCTCAGCAGATATTTGTAGATGCTGCTGCTGCTGCTGCTGCTGCTGCTGCTGCTGCTGCTGCTGCTGCTGCTGCTGCTGCTGCTGCTGCTGCTGCTGCTGCTGCTGCTGCTGCTGCTGCTGCTGCTGCTGCTGCTGCTGCTGCTGCTGCTGCTGCTGCTGCTGCTGCTGCTGCTGCTGCTGCTGCTGCTGCTGCTGCTGCTGCTGCTGCTGCTGCTGCTGCTGCTGCTGCTGCTGCTGCTGCTGCTGCTGCTGCTGCTGCTGCTGCTGCTGCTGCTGCTGCTGCTGCTGCTGCTGCTGCTGCTGCTGCTGCTGCTGCTGCTGCTGCTGCTGCTGCTGCTGCTGCTGCTGCTGCTGCTGCTGCTGCTGCTGCTGCTGCTGCTGCTGCTGCTGCTGCTGCTGCTGCTGCTGCTGCTGCTGCTGCTGCTGCTGCTGCTGCTGCTGCTGCTGCTGCTGCTGCTGCTGCTGCTGCTGCTGCTGCTGCTGCTGCTGCTGCTGCTGCTGCTGCTGCTGCTGCTGCTGCTGCTGCTGCTGCTGCTGCTGCTGCTGCTGCTGCTGCTGCTGCTGCTGCTGCTGCTGCTGCTGCTGCTGCTGCTGCTGCTGCTGCTGCTGCTGCTGCTGCTGCTGCTGCTGCTGCTGCTGCTGCTGCTGCTGCTGCTGCTGCTGCTGCTGCTGCTGCTGCTGCTGCTACTGCTAAATGACGCCTAAGAGCTGGAAAATAGTCTCGGAACAGGACTTACCCAACCTGGGTTCTAGTCCTGGCTCAATCACAAACCAGCCTTCTGGCCTTGAAGTAACTTTCCATTTCTGGGGATGTTTCTGGTCCCTTCCATGCTACGATGGTGGATAAGTATTTAAGTAAAGTGAGGTCTAACCAGACTATTACCCAGAGATGTGCAAGTTTGAGTGAAATTTGG